CTATTGTGCAACTTCATTAATATTCATTACTGTCAGAGTGTAGACGACAGAGACGCCACGTTGTGTTGGCAAAACAAGCGTGAAGTGTTGCTTTTAGAGTTTGCTGCAGTTAAGTTTTGTTTTCATTTTCTCTCTGTGAGAGCGCAGCTGGCGTCACGTGTGGATTAACAGTGTATGCGACGCGCAACAACAATAACTTACATGTCTAAGGAGGATTATTGTTTACCTGAGAGCTGTTCTCATCTGCAAACGCTGAGATCCGGATTCGCTTGTAGTCTTCTCTTAATAAAGACGCGGCTCTAGTTGCTGTGGATTGTCAGGGTTCTGCCACTCTGATCTTGTAAATTCTTGTTTTGGTGGCAGATCTCGGACACTACTCGTGTCTGGTCCTGTTTCTGTCTCTGTGTGCGCGCACGCCGTCGTGGGTGTACACAGAGTGTGCGCGCTCCTGCTTGACGCGACCGCGCGCGCGCTCTGCGTCCCTCAGACGCGTGCGCTCTTGTACTCGTGTTTGTGTTTTCGTCTGTCAGCAGCATGGTGTTTCATTCCCAGCGTCTCAGTCTTGTTAGTTTCGGTTTTGGTCGGCGCTGGGATGAAGCATGCATGCTGCATGTGTGAGCGCATGGTGAGTGTTTTCATTCATCGTGTGCTCGTGTCTTGCGTCTTTTGTCAAAGCACGTGGCTCGGTGTTTACATTGTGGTCACGTGCTTTTGTCGTGTGCTTCAGTGTTGTGTTATGTGAGCGCATGGCTTGTATGGTCTCTCTGTGTCATGCGCTCTCCCGTCTATTGTCTTGTCCCACCCACCTTGTTACCTTGTTTGTAATTATTATTTTCACCTGTCCGCCTGTCTGTTTATTGGTTTGTCTTTCCTATTTATTCTCCTAGTGTGCTCTGTTCTGTGCTGGTCCGTTATTGATTGTTCCCTTCCCTGTTGCTGATTTCCATTCTACAACAGCGGTTTAAAGTATTGTCTTGAAAAGTTCCAGATCTTGTCTAGTTGAGTGTGTAATATAATGTTGTGTTTTTCCCCACATGGGGAGATTTGAGTTTTGTTTTTGTTTTATTTTTTCATTAAATTCTTCATTTCCTGCATTTGGGTCCTCGCCTCTTCATCACCCCCATACCCTGACAGAACGGACCAGCCAGAATGAGGACCCAGCGGAGTGAAGATGGCTCCTTCGCTAGCCGCATTACTAAGTTGCTGCATTTGCAGTCACTGAAACAGTGTGGCTTAAATTTGGAGGAGTTTGCGGAGAAATTCCGCAAGGCAGCTGAGGGGCTGAATTTTAATGACTGGCTGCTTATGACCCACCTAAATTTTGCTCTGGACAAGCCCCTTCTTCCTCTGCAGATCCAGAGAATGGTGGGCTGGTCATACCAGCAATTTATTAATCACATGGTTCAGCAGCAGGAGAAAGGGATCCTTCAGGAGGAGAGGATCTCTCGCACCACCAACAGCGCCGCCTCCCAGCCCATGTCCAGCCCTCATGGGCTGACCCGCACTCAGAAGCGGAGGTTAAAGAGGAAGACCTCTGCTGCAGTGTCGGCTCCAGCCCCAGAGCGCCCTCCAGTGTCGGCTCCAGCCCCAGAGCGCCCTCCAGTGTCGGCTCCAGCCCCAGAGCGCCCACCAGTGTCGGCTCCAGCCCCAGAGCGCCCTCCAGTGTCGGCTCCAGCCCCAGAGCGCCCTCCAGTGTCGGCTCCAGCCCCTGAGCGCCCTCCAGTGTCGGCTCCAGCCCCTGAGCGCCCTCCAGTGTCGGCTCCAGCCCCTGAGCGCAGCTCAGTGCCGGTCCCAGTCCGGCTCCTTGCCCTGCTGGCACCACCCAGACGTCTTGCCCAGCCGGCCCCAGCCTGGCTTCTTGCCCTGCCGGCGCCACCCAGACGTCGTGCCCTGCCGGCATCAACCAGACGTCTTGCCCTGCCGGCGCCACCCAGACGTCTTGCCCTGCCGGCGCCACCCAGACGTCTTGCCCAGCCGGCCCCAGCCCGGTTCTTTGCCCTGCCGGCGCCACCCAGACGTCTTGCCCTGCCGGCGCCACCCAGGCTCTTGCCCTGCCGGCGCCACCCAGGCGTCTTGCCCTGCCAGCGCCACCCAGGCGTCTTGCCCTGCCGGCGCCACCCAGGCTCCTTGCTCTGCCGGCGCCACCCAGACGTCTTGTCCAGCCAGCCACAGCCCGGCTCCTTGCCCTGCCGGCGCCACCCAGACGTCTTGCCCAGCCGGCCCCAGCCCGGCTCCCTGCCCTGCCGGCTCCCCACAGGCCTCTAGCCCAGCCGGCTCCCCACAGGCCTCCAGCCCAGCCGGCTCCCCACAGGCCTCCAGCCCAGCCGGCTCCCCACAGGCCTCCAGCCCAGCCGGTTCCCCACAGGCCTCCAGCCCAGCCGGCTCCCCACAGGCCTCCAGCCTCAGCCCAGCCGCCTTCAGCCCTGCCGGCTCCCCAGCAGCGGCCTTCTGTCCAGCCGGCTCCCCTCAGGCCTTCTGTCCAGCCGGCTCTTGTCAAGTCGCCTCCAGCCCAACCGGCTCTCTACAGACCTCCTGCCTTGTTTCCCCTCACAGACTCTCCCTGGGTCGTACCCCTGCTCCTCCCTGGTGTTCCCCTCTTCCACCCTGGATGGATCCTCCGGCTTCACCCTGGTTCCCTGTCGGGGCTCCCGACCCGCTGAACCCACCCTGGACTGTCCCTCCTGATCCTCCCTGGTTTTGCCCTCCCATCCCTCCCTTGTTTGTCTTGTTGGGTCTGACTTGGCTCCCCTCCCTCACCCCCTTCATGTCTTGCCTGTTCACCTCCCTGTCTTGTGTTTGTTGATGTTGCCTGTTTTGTTGTCTTGTGGTGTTTCTTGTCTGTCTTGTACCTTGTTGGATGTTCCCTTTAGGGACGCCAGGTGGCGTCCCTTTTGGGGGGGGGTAGTGTCAGGGTTCTGCCACTCTGATCTTGTAAATTCTTGTTTTGGTGGCAGATCTCGGACACTACTCGTGTCTGGTCCTGTTTCTGTCTCTGTGTGCGCGCACGCCGTCGTTGGTGTACGCAGAGTGTGCGCGCTCCTGCTTGACGCGGCCGTGCGCGCGCTCTGCGTCCCTCAGACGCGTGCGCTCTTGTACTCGTGTTTGTGTTTTCGTCTGTCAGCAGCATGGTGTTTCATTCCCAGCGTCTCAGTCTTGTTGGTTTCGGTTTTGGTCGGCGCTGGGATGAAGCATGCATGCTGCATGTGTGAGCGCACGGTGAGTTTTCATTCATCGTGTGCTCGTGTCTTGCGTCTTTTGTCAAAGCACGTGGCTCGGTGTTTACATTGTGGTCACGTGCTTTTGTCGTGTGCTTCAGTGTTGTGTTATGTGAGCGCATGGCTTGTATGGTCTCTCTGTGTCATGCGCTCTCCCGTCTATTGTCTTGTCCCACCCACCTTGTTACCTTGTTTGTAATTATTATTTTCACCTGTCCGCCTGTCTGTTTATTGGTTTGTCTTTCCTATTTATTCTCCTAGTGTGCTCTGTTCTGTGCTGGTCCGTTATTGATTGTTCCCTTCCCTGTTGCTGATTTCCATTCTACAACAGCGGTTTAAAGTATTGTCTTGAAAAGTTCCAGATCTTGTCTAGTTGAGTGTGTAATATAATGTTGTGTTTTTCCCCACATGGGGAGATTTGAGTTTTGTTTTTGTTTTATTTTTTCATTAAATTCTTCATTTCCTGCATTTGGGTCCTCGCCTCTTCATCAACCCCATACCCTGACAGTGGATTGTCCTGTCTCTACAGATTTGGTAAGTGAGCGACCAGTGCTCTTTGTTTATTCAGTTCGTATTTTATTCGTATCAAACAAACTATTGCACCAGTGTAAACAAGTTAGCACTAACAGTTACAACCAAACTATAACCTCGTATTGGATTTTGTGACCGGAATAACACACGCGGCTTTCTGACACTACCTGCCGTGTGCATCTAAGTTTCCGGGAAATGCTGAGTTTTTTTTTTCTCTCATTCGCCGTGCGGTATCAAACATTGCATGAAAAATACACGCTTAGAGCAGCTCCTCGAATCAAATATCACGTTTGTTGGGAGGGACATGAATGAATTCCCTGAATGAAAGAGCCAAACTGCAGTTAAAGTCCACCATTTAATAATTTGCCAAATAATTCGACTACAGATGTCCATGTAAACACAGTCACATTGTCCGCTGTGGTTGTGTGTTTTGACTCTGAAATTCAGCGCGCCCAAATAGACACTCCCACACCAAGCCTCATTTCTTCCTCCGACACTCCCCCCTAAACAGAGCTGGACACGCCCGCTTTTTTGGCTTTTTCCAAAGTAGAGGTGTGAAAACACCCTGCTGAAACGAGGGGGTTTCATGGCCCTTTAATGTGCATGTGCTCATGTTTCAGGAGGTGTGGCTTAGGACAGCAGGGGAGGGACTGTTTCAAAGATATTATGCTAACCGGTTAGCATTTTGGCAGCTACTGCACCTTTAAAAAAATCATGAACAATTATAAAAATAAAAATAATAATGCGATTAAAAACCTGACATTCAACATAAGTTACGAAAATGCCAAACACTTGATAGCATAGCATAGAGTCCCAGTGTTTCATCCAGAATATCATTTACAGCCTGATCTAATAAACCTGTTCTCTGCATCTGCTTTTCCCCAAATAACAACTTACAAAGTGTGGAAATCAGAGAACAGCCATTTAATATCGGCCGGCACTGTCATCAAACATGTCTTTTCTACAAGGGCAAGCTGAAAGAGCTCTACAAACAGATAGTTAGATTAGAGGCTTTTTAGGACAGCAAATTGAATGTAATCGAATCTTCCCTTTCATAGCAGTCAAAAGCGCATCAAGACTGAGTGAGGAAAGAGTGGTGTCTCCAATTATGCTGATAGCGATTGAAGAGACACGAGAGGGAATGCAATCAAATGGAGATCAACGAGATGAAAAAGGAGCAGCTTTGGGCAATCGCTTCGTCTACAAATGAAATCCTCCACAGAGTGAAGAAAAAGCAAGCTGAAGGATGCTCACCTCGCAGCTCTGCCACCTGTTTGGGATGTTGGGACGCAGCTTTTGGTCACACACTACCCGCTTCATGTCCTCTACTGATGGATCCGATGGTACAAGGTCATAGTAGGGAAGCTGGTAGTCCTCATGGATGCCTGGATAAATTAGCCCACAAGAGCACACAGTAAATGAGCGTGTATATCGTTATGTAAACTGTTATCAAATGAAATCCTCATTTCTAAGAATAGTGTGTGGGCAATGTAAGGGGGCTTCAAAAGTCTGAAAACAATCTGGAAGTGAATTTTTATATATGATAATATGTGACAGGATCACAAAATTTGAATTGTCTGAAGTCTATATAGTCTTATATTTGCACAAGAACATTTTTGGCAATAATCAAAAATAAATGTATGGGTCAAAAATTTTATTCCAAAAATCTTCAAAATATAATGTAAAGATCATGTTCCACGAAGATATTTATTATTTATTTATTAAAACAAATTTTTTAAATTATTTATTTTATTTAATTTATTTTGGACAACTTTAAATTAGATTTTCTTAGTATTTAGATTTTTTTTCAGAAACTGCAGGTTCCAGATTTTAATAAATATCTGCTAAATATTGTTTTATCCTAGCCAACCAAACATCAATGAAAAGCTTATTTTGTCATCTTTCAGATAATGCATAAACTTCAATTTCAATTTCAAAACCACAGTTTTGGTCTATGCATAAAAATGACAAATTATGAAAAAAGTGATTTTACATACTTTAAAAATATGTATTTTATTGTCATTGGTAATTGATCATTATGTTTTAACATCTGCCTATGTATTAATGCTGTTATTTACTCATCAATATATAAACATATATCTTTTAAGAGTAACAATGTAACATTGCAAAGCCACTAAATTCTCTTTTTTGGGCAAAATGTCATTCAGTCTAACAAGTTATCATCATTCAGCAAAACAGATGCAGTCATGTAAAAATGTAACAACATACTTATTCTAATCTGTATAACCTAAAACATTTAATCACACTAAATTTAATTAAATGTTGAATTATTTGTGTTTCCTTAATGTCTTCCTAACACATGGTTAAAAGCAAGCAATTTAAAGTATAAAGATTTAAAATAGAAATTACTACTATTATAGCTATTATTTTGGGGCTTCACTGTCATCATTAATAAAAAAAAAAACATAATGGAAAATATAGAAATAAACAGGATACTAATGCATATACATGTACATAAAAAGCTGCATTTAATTACACCTTAGTTTTATAATGCTTAAAGGGCACCTATGATGAAAATCAACTTTTGCAAGTGGTTTGAACAGAACTATTTGTAGGTACGGTGTGTCCACTGTCACATTGGAGTAATTTGTACACAACATTTTCCTGATGTTAAAATACGATGCAATTCCCAGTGATTTTGATGCCTACTGCAACGTGACGTTGGAGTGCCCTTTTCCTGCCCACCAATTTGATTGACAGACCCCATGTTTCTATAATAACATGTATACACATGTCCATAGAACATTTTTTGCAAAGAAACTGGGATTAAAACAGGTTACAACTTTCTGTAATTTTTATAAGTTTAAAACAGAGCATGTTTGTAATAAAGACAGTAACATCGCTATGTAATTCTTAACCACTATAATCAATACGGCAGCATGGTGTCAGTAAACGCTATTATTTTTGTGTGCAAACAGCATCCGTTTGTGACTCATTGTTTCAAAAAGGCTTGAATAAAATCCACCACAAATAAATCAAATATACTTGGTATTTTTGACTAATCAGCTGTATTTCAGTTTCATCCGTGTCTGTCTCTATCACTGACTGCTGTTTATCTGATGTAATGTAGGAGAAGCAGACACGCACGTGGGAACAGTGGGCAGGGAGAAGCAGCTCATTTGCATTTAAAGTCAAACTGTACTCAAGACACCAAAATGGGCGGATTCTGGAGCTATAATGAATTATTTGATGGGTATTTTGAGCTAAAACTTTACAGACACATTCTGGAGACAACCAAAGGCTTATCTTACATCTTGTAAAATAGGTGCCCTTTCACACTTTAACCTTTTATAGACACACATACTACACTATTATATTCACACACATACTGACAGAGAAAAAGAGAGAGACAGCATTGCCATCATTAGTATGCAACTCAACAAGCAGGAAGAAAGAAAATATAAACAGCAAACTGGAAAACATATTAGTATTAGTCACTGTCAGCTTCATCCAAGTGTCCTACCTCCAATTGAACACCTGCGAGCAATCTCCCAAAACACCAGACCCAAGGCATAGATATCTGCCCTTTTAAAAGACTCAAAGTGCCTCATGTTAATGGAGTCATCCAGCACCTCAGGGGCCATATACCTGTTAACATCAGAGATTAACCTCAGATTAACAAGCCTCACACAGAGACGGACACAAACATGTTTTGGAACAAACTACAAATATTCGCTCATCAGATTTGTATAATTAAAACTGAAACAGATGTATTTAATTCAAATATAAGTAATATATGAATTGACTTTTTTCCTACTATGAAAGTCAGTGGTTACCCGTTTAAAACATTCTTCGAAATATCTTCTTTTGTGTTCAACAGAAATAAAAAGTGTTTTGAAATCATTTGAGGGTGAGTAAATGCTAAATAAATTTTCATTTTTGGGCAAACCATCCATTCAAAAAGCTTCTTTGTGTTATGTAACACAGCAGTGAGCAACAGTTGCTCAATAGGATTGCTCTACAGTGTTTTAAAGATTCAGCTGGTGGTTGTATGGTGGCCTAAAACTTGGTTTTCCTTTAGAAAGCAAGAAGACGGAGCGAGACGGTTCACTTAAGTGAGCCCCGGGGGACAGAAGGCTGTGAGGCTTTGACATTCAGAAATCACATTGGGTTATCATCACAGCAGGGGATGGCAGTGGGTGTTGTATACTGTGTGGGGGGTGTCAGTCTGTCACACCCAGGAGGAGTCTGTCTGTGTGTGGGTGTCCAGGGGGCACAGACGTGAATGGGTGCTATACTGAGAGCCTCTCGCTGTAGATGAGATGTGACGAACTCCTGTGGTGACAGCAAGACCTAAAGGACTGTCCTTTACAACACACATCTCACCCTCAGAGAGTGTCCTCAGATTCAACTCAAGACCTGCTGAGGGTCCTGCTACCTGATGGGTCAATGACAAGAAAGGCTCTCTAATAAGAAAATGAATGTGCTTTATTCTTAGAAACACTCTTGTGTTGGCTGAATATGTTTTTTTGTATCATTCTGAAAAAAAAAAATGCTTGCATGTCATGAATCTTAAAGTGTACATATTTTTGTTAAAATGTTAATAACAGGTGTACAGTACATAGAAAGAATATATGTATGTCTGGTATGTACCTCAGTGGTGAAATCAAGGTTTGGCATGTTTTCCGGTCTAGAGTTAAACTAAACTAACCAGTTTCTGTTATTCTTTCTTATTAAACAGTGGTTTGCTAAAAACAAATTGTGGCCCTTGTCTTAGAAATGAATTATTGAATGTGTATACTAAACCCTATGACCCATAAAAAAAGTTCACACCTACTTTAAATATATAGATGCAAATAAAATTTGTTAGGGTTATTTAAAAAGTAAAAGGTTATAATTATTATTATTTACAACTGTTAAAATATTTTTGGCACATTATATTTGAACTAATCTGAAATGAAACCTTGACAGTAATGGAGTTCCTATATAGCATCTCTTCTACTTTATGCAGTTTTACATGTTATTCATACCGTTTGACCTAGAGCTGATAACACATTTCCAAATATTAAGGTATTGTTATTTTTATTTTATTTATTTATCCTTTATTTTACCAGAAATTTCCCATTGAGATATGCATCTCTTCTACATAGGGAATCTTGGCCAAAATGGCAGCACAAAAAGTTTCAGATACAAAAACACACATTTGTAAAATATCACAAAATAAAATTTACACAAAACATTGACAAAATGATTCCAGGTAAGACTTCAAACTATTTTTAAAAACATTTAGAGATGGAATTGTTTCTACATTGATAACATTGCATTTCATTCCATAATGTAGGGCCAAAGGAGGAAAATGTTGTTTTACCAAACTCTGTACACACTCTAGGAACAGTTAAATGTAATTTATAAAGATTTATGTAATTTATGTAAGAATGTTGTGTACTATGATTACAAGTATAATATGACAAAAGTTTTCAGATATAATAAGATGACAATTTATCCAATAATGTCCTAGTGGTGTATAGAAGCATGTGCATTTTTTTCCTTTAGTGCAGGGAAAACCATCCAACCATTTTGTTCAAAATACAATGATGGGTATGTGAAGATGCATTCATCACAACTCAACAGCATGATATACTATCTGGCTTTTTTAATGATGACAAGTTTGCATGCATATAAACTACATCCCCATAATCCATCACTGAAAGGAAACAGCTTTGGATAATACTTTTTCTTGCTTTGAGAGGAAGGCACTACTTAATATGAAAAAGAAGACTCAATTTAGGCCTGAGCTTCTTTACAAAACTTGAATTATTATTGGGATCCAACTGTTTATCAAGCCATATCCCCAAATATTTAGAACTGTTTACTCTTTCAATACAGTCCCCCTCCAGGGTTAAGATTGGTGAAACCTTCATTTTCGTACGATTACAATTAAAAGCCATTTATTTAGATTTTTTTGCATTAAAACCAACTTCAACTTTAGTAGTGAAAGTTGCAATAACCGAAATAAATAAATATGTATAAATGTGTATTTTTATTAAGCAATAAATATGCATTTTAATGCATAAAAATAAAATGATAGTAATAAGAATTGTAATAATTTTTTGATTATCTCAAAGTAATTAAATAAGGGATGAAAACCAAAAAAACAAAACACTATTTTACCCTTAAACTACAGAAAATTTACTTTTGTTATTTTTTTGCTTTTATTGCACATTGCAAATAAACAAACCACACATAAAAATATTGCCATAACTAAATTGATATCAATATAATAAATATGATAATATATAAATAACAAACAATGCATAAATAAAATTTAAAAAACAAAAACAGAGTAACTTCTATCTGGGCTATTATTAGGCATGGGGTCAAAAATGGCTTGTTATGTCACTTCCATTTTTTTTTTTTTTACTCTACTTCAAAAGACAATACAAAGTTGACAGGAAAGTAGAAAGTAGGTGTGAGAGTGACGTTACGTCACAAACACACACAAAAAAAAGCCATAAAGTGCTGTCTTATGAAACCGCACACATTCAGTAGCCTCTGTCAAATCTCACGCTAGCTTGAATCGTAGAGTGCTTCACAACACTAATATTCACAGGCACACAAAGAGCCCTCAGCTCAAGCAAACACTCAGTTATAAGCCATATCTCTGCACACAGGAATACAAATGTGGGAAAGCGCGTGTCTGCAGACAGGATCTAGACATTCGTCGCTGTGAATGGTGCCGAATGATGAATTACTGACCTTTTTGTGCCCACTCTGTGATTGGGTGCAATATCAATGGTGTCTGTGGCAGAGTCGTGGCGCACAGCCAGTCCAAGGTCAGCGATACAGCAGGTCCCATTCTTCTTCACTAAGATGTTTTTGGATTTCAGATCACGATGGGCAATGGCAGGCTTACCTGAAGATTGAACATGACATGGTACAGCATGTCAACTTTAAATCAATTTTTGAAAGCTTGCTTCTCTGAATATGAAGGAAAACTTTGAGAACCTTGACTGTTCCACCATAATTGAGTTTTTCTCTTAAAGTGCCACTAGGAGGCTTTTTAGTGAAATGCCCACCACGGTTTATCAACAATATAGTAGTCAGAGTGCATCGCTCTTGTTTTTCCCAGGGGTCTCCCATATTTTAGACCCCTCTCCCGCCACCCTCCCGTTTTGCTATTTATCTGGAAAACTCCCATAATTTCCATTGTAAGCGTGTAGTTACTGAAGCACTCGTCAGAAAAATTAGGACTATAATGCTGAGGTATTTTTGCAAAAATAAACCTCAACCACTGACTCTTCACAGTTTCATCTTAACACTAACTTACCCCTCACGCTTCCAATAATATCCAGCTGAGCACAGCATCTTCATGGCTTGATTCAAACAGGATTCTTAGCTACTGTTTGTGGGCGGAGCCACAGGTTTTAATTTTCCTGGGTTTGCGTGCACAACAAATGGGCGGGGCTTAAGTTTTGTATTGACGTCACGCTAAAACAGCTAAAGAACTCGTTATCAATACGATTCATTAGAAGAACTCATTTGAAAACTCTTTTATTAATGAATCAATAGTTTTAAAAACTGCACTTTTAGATTTAAGCCTTAGCTGGATTTTTCACTTCACTTAGAGCTGTGTTACACGCTACATGCAAGGTAATTTTTCAAAAACCCATGATAAGCGTTCTTTAAGGGCATATGCATAATAGGACTCTTAGTGATGAATGGCATATTGGTATTAGAAGATAAATGCTTATTTTTAAGCAGTTATCATTATTAAGTTATTAGTATTTGCTTGATAAGAAAACAAATGATCAAATGATTAGATAAGGATTATTTTAGATGTTTCATCCACAAGGGTTTTGACTGCTGTCCACATGAAGTGACATTTTGCACACAACAGATGCTCAATTTAGAAGTGTTTAGGCAAAAGGAAAGACAAGATGTCAATAGTGTGGGTATTTTTCACCATAGAAACTTCAGACTTAAGAATTGCTATTTGTAAACAGGTAACAAATGTATATCATTTGAAAATAGAATCATTTTACAAGACCCCTAGGGTTATAGATTGTATAGGCTTAATTTTAACTTACAAACTGTTCATGGTTCTGCACCTGATTATATATGTGACCTAATATTAACCTCCTCATCCTCTCGCAATCTAAGTTCTACTTCGGGGCTCACCTTGTATCAGCCCCGTTGCAAACTTAGCAGCATGGGAGGCAGGGCTTTCTCTTATCCTGTGCCTAAATTGTGGTGTGCTCTCCCCACAAACATCAGAAACGTCAGTTCCCTGGACTGTTTTAAGAAACTTCTTAAAACACATCCTTTATTATTGCTTATAACTTATGAGGCCTTCTTTTAATATGTATATTTTTATCATTATTATCATTCTTACTTTTTTGTGTATTTCATGTTCTTCTGTGTGTTGATGCTCTTGTTAGCGCTTTGAGTTTGAGAAAAGCGCAATATAAATAAAATGTATTATTAAAGAGTTTTTATTTTTAATTTATAAGTTTTTCATTTTTTTTATGCGTTCAGCCAATCTCCAGCTCTGGCGACACTTTTTAGCTTAGCTTAGCATAGATAGTTTAATTGGATTAGACCATTAGCATCTTGCTCAAAAGAGAAAAAAGAAAAAAAAAGAGTTATGAATATTTTCCAATTTAAAACTTGACTCTTGTGCAGTTATTAAGACTGACAATATGGGAACTATACTCTGATTTTGGAGCGTTATTCAGGGAACTTTGCTGCCATACCATGGCTGCAGCAGGTGCAATGATATTATTAAGCACCTGAAAATAGTCCCTGGCTAGGTAACTAGGTAACAAGGTAAACAGCACAATATAATTGCTTTTGCTGCAGCCATGGTACGGCAGAACATTTCCTTAAGTATTACAATAAAATGATTAATAAATGAGATGTATCTGATTTAAATATATGAACTTGGTTCACCTAGGCATCCATATTACGTGCATTAAAGGCCAAACCCCTGATAGTCAATGTATAATTCACACATTGACTATAAGAATTACACTAATCAGAACAGACTGATACATCTGTCTAATAAGAGCTGAGTAGACTACAGGAATTTAAGTGTTAAGAGAGACTGGATTCTGAGTAAAGCACTGTAAGAAAAGAGTTGATACTGAAAATTAAAACTGTTTTTTATACCTTGGATAGATATAAATCTATTATGAGAGGCACCTTTTAAAAAGAATAATAAGAACACTTAAAAAAACGAATCACCTGATTATAACTTCACATACCTTTATATAGACCTTTATAACTTCACATAAAACATCACAAATAAACATTGTGAAGGAACCGTGTAGCACCACAAATTTGGATATGAAAACATGTTAATTTTCATGTAAATATTATTATGTGTCAGGAAGAATAAAAAGTGATGTGAGTGTTGTGACTCACCCTGAGTACCCACAATCTCCATATGCAGATGAGCCAGACCACTGGCGGTGGACAGAGACAGCTTGATCATGCCCTCCACCGTGACCGTGTACCTGTTCAGGTAGTCAAAGAGAGAGCCGTGCTCATGGTAATCAGATACCAGCCACAGCTGAGTCCATGTTCCGTTATCTGATATGCAGAAAGAGAGAGAGGAAGATGAACCAGTGAATGCTGTGCTTGGAGGAATGACAAACTTTCACATATATCAACATAAAAATGTACAGCTAAACTGATAGAAAAACACTCAGTTCCTTTTTTTAAAAATTGTACTATACATAATGAGCGGGTAAATGATGCTATTAGCATTGCAAAGTTCTTCATTTATTAAAAAAATACCATAGTGTGGATGAAGAGATTTTTTTTAAAAACAAAACCATGATTCTCAAATGAAGTAGAGTAGATGTGTCCATTAGCTCAACATTGATTCAGTGTATTGAATCAACTTTGAATGTTTCAATGCACATTAGTTCTGAAGTGAACTCAGTTTAACTGCAGTGCAGCCTCCCTGTTGATTTCCTCTTGAAGAATACAAATAAAATATTGGAAAATGTTGTAAAAACAGCAGGGGACTGATGCTGGTTTCTAAAGGACAATGCCAATGGCAAAATCTAAGTTGGATTAAAGGGTGATTGATATTCATTTTCTTGTCGGCTTTTATTAATAAATTTCCCATTATTAATCAGTGGTCGCCACAGAGGAATGAACTGCCAACTTATCCAGCATATGTTTTATGCAGCAGATGCCCCTCCAGCTGCAACCCAACACTAGGAAACACCCATACACTTTTACATTCACACACATACACTATGGCCAATTTATCTTGATCAATTCCCCTATAGTGCATGTCTTTGGACTGTGGGGAAATCGGAGCACCCAGAGGAAACCCACGCAAAAACAGGGAAAACATGTAAACTCCCAACAGAAAATGCCAACTGACCAAGCTGAGGCTCTAACCAGTGACCTTCTTACTGTGAGGCGATTGTGCTAGCCACTGCGCCATCTTGCTGCCCTGGATGTGTTATAATTAAGTAAATGACAACAAAAACTGTTAAAAAAAATCAATTTTCAAAGCCTGTTTTACAGAATTTTTCTTCAAAAAGCTGTACAAATAATTGACAACTTGTCATAAAAATTGAAAATGAACACACCTACCATAGTCTTTCAGCAATACAAAGAATACAGTTATTTTGAACAACAATTGCTTTCTTTATTGCATTTCTTTGTTTACTTGTTTATTATAATGTAAACTAATATATAATTATATTTTAACTATTTGATTTAAACTATTTTTATTAACAGCATAAAAAGTAATGTTACAAATTATTGCAAAACATATTTTAACAACAATGATAAAAATATATTTTTTTTAATTATTAAAAAGTTTAATTAAAAATATATATATTTTAAATAATTATTAAAAAATATATAAAAACATTATAAAAATTATCAAAAAATGTATAAAATAATTAATATAAAAATGATTAGAAATGTAAAATTAAATTTAAAATATATACAAGTATTACACTTATTAAATTAGTATCATTATTTAAAATAAATGTTATTAAAAAAAATAAAATAAAAAATTACAAAAAATTATTACAATTATTGAAACTTCTAAAAATACAGCATAAGCAGCTAGATAAAAGATTTGGCATTGAACTGTTACTCAGTGAGTGTGAATATTACCTTCAAGATGAGCAAATGTGAAACACTATCCACACAAACACACTGAACTGAACTCACTGCTTTCACTGTTGTCTGACCTTTGTTGTCTGCAGCAATAAAGCCCAGGATGTTCTCATGACGGAGCATGACAGTCTGGTAGATTTCTGCCTCGCGGAACCAAGAGCGCTCCTCTCTGGAGGAGAATATCTTCACCGCCACCTCCTCTCCACGCCAGCGGCCTCTCCACACCTCTCCAAAACGGCCCTTCCCAATGCTCTCTTGGAGGATGATGGTCCTGGCGATGGTCCGTTGCACTAGCAGAGGCAAACCTGAAGACCACAAGAAAAAAATACTCCACTCAAGCTCACTGTGTTTGTTCTAATTTATATTTAGTTATAATTATAAAGATGCATTTTGTCCTCAAAAAAGTGTAGTTACAATATCTGCCAGCAGAGCATAAGAGAGCCACGCAAACAAGCCAAATCTTCAAATTTATGCACAATTTTTGATAGGAGATTGTGACAGTCCTGCTTAAAGGAGCTGAAAAACAAACATTCGATCAAAGGCACTGCCAAATTTAGCGTTCCTTGGCTTAGACAAAAGAGCTTCTGGACTAAAGAAAAACCTACAATGAATTCAACTTGGAGTGAGGCTCCGAACACACTGGAAGCAATAAACTGTTGATTTACACATCCTCAATTGTTCCCAACGGGCACTGAAGGCAAAGTTATGGAAATTAAATTGGCCTGAGCGCACTTTGGGATTTATGATTGGGTTTACAGGGAAAACAACTAGCAAATACAAGCAAATTAAAAAGGATTTGATGAGTTGATGGGATCTTTGCATATCAAATGGGAATAATTATGTTTTTTTTTACTTTCTTAAGTGCGGAAATATGCTGTTTGTGCATGAAAATTATGTGCAAAGTTACAAAGCAAAGGGACTAATATTACTCCAAAGAGAGTAATCCGTAAACAGCTTTTCTGAACTCCTTTTAACGCCTTGATTGTTTGCATCTGGGAATGCTACAATATCCATCAATTTACAAATCTCTTAACAGGCAAATGCCAATAAAAAGATAAGAGTTTTTGTTTTGTTGTTCCTTTTAAAGAAAGTAGCAGGTGGCAGCAGCTCATTTGCATTTAAAGAGAGACACATAAAAACAACACAATCCCCTTCCACAAAAAAAATTGGGATTTGCAGTTTGAATTAGGGATGCAGTGGTTCTCTGTAAAAAAAAACATATTTTCCCGTTGTCCTCCCACGGTTTGGTGTGCCCTGTGATCCGCAGTTCTGAATATATGCATTATTAATATTGGTTTGTTAATAAAACAACTGCAAAAAAAGCATTTCCGCCATTGTACACTTCCGAATACCTTCCACATACATAGCACGTGTGAAGGCCTGTCCAATCACCTCTTAGTATGTAAATCTGTTGTTTACATACTAAGAGGTGATCACACCTGATCACACCCGCTATTCACTCTGTTTACCCGCTGTCTGCTAAGCACAGTTTTTAGTTTTCCGAACGCTGAATCATAACAATCTGGTAACACAATTATATAGAAATCATAAATAAAAGTTTGTTGCTGCCTTGGTAATGCAAGCATAATGTAAACAGAGGTAATCAATTATTGTTCAATTATTAAGATGTATTGACAATTATTTTCTGCATAATTGGTTGAAACTGTTAAGTTGAGATGTTTTTCTCTTTATTTTTTATCAGGCAATTTATTTGAACATACAATTTTCAAAATGCCCTACTTTTAATTAAAATCATTTATTTTAAATGTTTAATTAATTAATTTTATTTTATTAAAATTATTATTATTTTTTTTTTTTCATTTGTGTGAGCTGTTGCATTGTCAGGTGTTTGTTACCCAATAATTATGTTTCAAGAGTTCCCACTTAGATATGCTTAGCATTTAAAGATTTTTTGGCATGTTGTCCCAGGAGAGAACCCTGAGCTCGGAGATATTTGAGTCCAGGGCTCCCGCCTGGTCAATAAGCATATCAGGGGATCCGAGATCAGGTAGGTCTAGATAGCTTCCCCCTTAGAAAAAGGGGGGAAAAGGAGGAGATGGGGTGGAAGGGGGGATTCTTCCAATACGAAGATAGAGCAGTGAGGAGAAAATTATCCATTTATAGTAAGCTAGGATCACTCTGATTGGATTGTTGCTGATTACAGATGATTGGCCAGCAGTGCTCAATCATATCACGTGCTCCTCTCGAAATTAGCTTATGAAACTTCACTTATTGTTCTTTGAATTGACCTGTAGACATTTTTTTCTAAGCATAGCACAAACCGTATCATACCGAAACTGTGACCCTAAAACCGTGATACATACCAAACCGTGTGTGGATTGAATTGTTGCACCCCTAGTTGGAATGTGTTATATTTATAGACTAATAAAATATTCATTTTAATTGTTCTTAAATTTTATACTGCCTCTTAAAATAAAGATTTCAATTTGTGTCTCAGAACACAGCAGTTTCAGTCCTAAATTAATCAGTTTTGAATAGAAATGATTTGGGAAAATAGCTTAATTACACAATCTTTTAAGACTGTCACTTGTCTCATTTCTAAAGAATCAGCCGTTTTAAATGAATAGTTTGGATGAATGATGGTGTCTACTGGTGGTTTTAGTTTCATATTTAATACACTGCCCTGCAAAAGTCTTGCCGTCGATTGCAGTTGTAATTGTCACAAATAATAATTTGACTTCTAGTTGATCATTTGGAAAAGTGGCAGAAGGTAGATTTTTCTGATGAATCATCTGTTGGCAACATCAACAGCCTGAGGTATCAAGACATTTGTACTGCCCATTGCAATACAAACTCAAAAGAGGGAAATTTCTTCAGCAGGATAGCGCTCCTTCTCATACTTCAGCCTCCGCATCAAAGTTCCTAAAAGCAAAAAAGGTCAAGGTGCTCCAGGATTGGCCAGCCCAGTCACCACACATGAATATTATTGTGCCTGTCTGGGGTAAGATGAAGGACGAGGCAAGAACGCCTGCAAGAACGCTTTCTTTGCCATTCCAGATGACTTTATTAATAAGTTATTTGAGTCATTGCAGAGATGTATGGATGCAGTCCTCCTTGCTCATTAATATTGTGAGTCATACACAATATGAATTCTTTTTCCACTGCACCATGACTTTATATTCTATACTGTGCATTATTTCTGTTAAGTGACAAGACTTTTGTCTTAGCACAGTCAGACCTTACTGTCCTGATTAAATAATTAAGAATCATGGCGTGATCATATTTTATTTTGGTAAAATATTAACAATGTAGAGGCCTTTGCCTGTCATATAAGCCACCTCTGATACCAAATCATCAACTAGAAGTCAAGTTATTATTTGTTGTTCCAAAAACTTGCATAGGCAACAAGACTTTTGTCAGGCAGTGTAGATTTATTAATACATCACAGATTCAAACCAGCCAAGGTTCTGGCACAAAGAGTGAAATATTGCATTGCAAATTAGTGCTATGGAACACAATTTAGTTTCCAATATCCCACATCTCTAATTTAAACATAATGTGTGGGAAAAATGTTTAAATAGAAAAAAGGCTAATTTTTAGTAAGATTATAAAAGTCTAAGCTGTAATATACAGTACCTGAGCCTGATCCAGAGGTGGTCATGTCATAGATGAGGTCCTTAAGTGTGGTGCCATCAGCAAGGAATGGGTGGTCCATAGTAGGGTCTTCTTCACTTGGCACACGATGGTGGATGATTGAGCGATTATGGCACATGTAGAAAAGCAGCACCAGCACAAAGCTCAGCACACAGATGGGGACAGCAATCATTGCGGCCAAGGCTATGGGACTCATAGACTGGGGTTCAGCTTCAGGCAACTCTGAAACAGGTAGAATCAAAGCACACATTTTAGGCTTTAAGCTAAGAGTGCGCCGTCTGGTATTTTATGGATTTTGTTCTTACATGTAAAAATTGTTATAATAAAACAGTAGTCACAGACTTTTAAAATAAATTTCATATAATTAAAATAAAAATATTTTTTAATTTAACATTTATGAATATACTGCCATTATGATTTATTTCAACATCATGAGTAGCAGAGAGCCTCATCAACTGTATTCAATCAATCACATAATATCCTTTGGGTTAGTTCTTGATTTATTAGGGGTCTCCACAGCAGAATGAACCTCTAGTTCCCCTTCGGGGGGAACTTCAGCACTATAAGTGGATTTGATTGTAAAATCCACGCATTGGGAGGTTCGGTTCAGAAGCTACTCGTCTGAAAGAGTATTGAACGGGCCAATTAAGAATGAATTGGCAGCGCAAGCCTGCGCAGGTGAGCGGCATAAGCAATCAACTGAGTATATAAGCTCACCTGGCGCCAGCAGACGCTATCCTTTTCGCTTCAGAGACTTTCTGATCGAGTCGATGAGGGTTCCTCCTGCTGTGACCAGCGATTCTGAGCGAACGAGAGCATTCTCCCGGTCCAGAGTGTGTACACGCAGTGGCAGACGGTCGAGCTGGGTTTCTCCCTTGCCTGGCGTTCTTTGGGTCCGGTCCTCCAGAGCGGTGCGTATAAAGTTGCAAACTTCACAGAAAGAGCAACACAGTCGTGCAGCACGTCCTTATCAGGACGGCGCTCCGACTGTGCGTTTCTGGATGCGGTGGTTTCCTGTCCTCGGATGATGGGCGCGGGCACTGCGTTACATGTCTGGGGGTCCAGCATGTTAATGCGCTGCTCGCGGGCAGTTCATGTCGTCATTGCGATGCCATGACTGTTGCGCAAGATCGCGGTTAGCCTTTGCAAAAGGGCGAACCACCCCAGTTGTCCCCTGCTCTGCAGCGGGCACTCGGGCAGATCTGAGGGTTTCAGCTAGAGATAATCCGCGTGATTACGGATTATCGGGCTTCGGGCTGGTGAGCGCTGTCACTACGGATCCTGAAACGGACATGTTAGCCGTGCTTTCCCGGGCTGCTTCGGCCGTGGGTTGGAGATGGTTTATCCCCCAGCTCCGCGGCCGGACCGACTAGAGGGGCGTTCCCTTCTTCCCGGAGGTGCACAGTAGGCTCACGCGGTCTTGTAAAGCACTTTTTTTCTGCTCGTGCTGCGTGTTCCTCCACCCTAACCACTCTTGACGGTGAAACAGCCAGGGGGTATGTGGCGATTCCTCAGGTTGAGTGCGCGATGGCGGTAAATCCGCGCGGCGCCTCTTCTTGGCGGGGTCCGCCTCGTCTCCCATCCAAAGCCTGTAAGTTATCTACCTCCCTCGGAGCTAGAGCTTACATAGCTGCGGGCCAGGCTGCTTCCGCCTTGCATGCGATAGCCACCTACCAGCGCTACCAAGCGCAGGCGCTGGCCGAGCTGCACGAGGGTGGGTCCAGCCCAGGCTTACGAGCTTCGCACCGCCGCCGACTTAGCTCTTCGGACTACTGAGTCCGCTGCGTGTGCGTTGGGGAGGACGATGTCCACATTAGTGGTCCAGGAGCGCCACCCCTGGCTGATATGCGCAAAGTCGACAAAGTCTGCTTTCTTGACTTTCCCATATCCCCAGCCAGGTTCGGCGACACTGTCTGTGAATTCACCCAGGAATTCAAGGCGGTGAGAGAGCAGTTGGTGGGTGATGTCTTATCGGCAGTCCGTAGCCCGCTCCGCCCGCCGTGCCATTCATACCTGCTCCTCGCCGAAGGCGCCCGCCTATAAGAGCTGCTCCGCCCCCGCACACGCCTCCGGCGAAGTGAGCGCGTCGGGCACCTCGGAAGCAGGCAGCCCCCCTGCCCAGAACGCCGCTAAGTCCGGCAACGGACCGCGAAGCGCCCCTGGGACAGGCCATCTGGAGAAGAGGGAACTTGCTCTTTCCCCGCTGGAGGGCGGGGCCCCATTTCCAACGGCACTTTTTACTGCCATGAAAACATTATGAAAGGGCACTTTTCACTTCCCCAGATGTGACAGCCCGAAATCTGCCAGTCTGGGACGCTATGCTTTCTAGCTTGTAGATTCGGTGCGTTTCGCCAGTGGCTCACGAGCGCTGGGAGGACGGTCTCCTTTCTCCCACCCCTCGAGCCTCCCCTCCGGAGCTCGGGTTTGGAGTGAGAGTAAATATCTCACCTCCAGCTTTTCCGTGGTACCCGCGAGCTTCCCGGATCAGCACACCCACTCCGCGCTGCCCCACTGCTGGTACGTCAGCGATTGTAGCGATGAGTCCATTAGCGAGAGCTCTGCCTGCCTGGTTAGCGCGGGCCAGCTCTTCGCGGTGGCTCATACGCACAATCAGACTCGGCTATGCGATTCAGTTCGCGAAACGGCCCCCCAAGTCACGGGTGTGTATTCACCAGGGTCAGCCCCCTGTCCGCCCCTGTCTTGCGAGAGGAGATTGCTGTCCTCCTGGCGAAGGATGCAATCAAGCCGCTCCCTCCAGCCGAGATGGAGAGCGGGTTTTACAGCCCACGCTTCATCGTGCCCAAAAAGAGCGGTGGGTCACGGCCAATCCTAGATCTGCGCGTTTTGAACCGCTGCCTGCACAAGCTGCCGTTCAGAATGCTCACGCAGAAGCGCATCCTCCGGTGCGTTCGTCCTCTGGGTTGGTCTGCAGTATTAGACCTGATGGACGCGTATTTCCATGTCTCCACTCTTCCTCGCCACCGACAGTTTCTGCGGTTTGCGTTTGAAGGTCGAGCTTGGCAATACAAAGCCCTCCCCTTCGGGCTCTCTTCGGCTCGCGGGCATCTGCATACTCTTTCTTTACGACTGGCTGATTTTTGCCCTCTCTCGGAGCAGTTGATTATGCACAGAGACAAAGTGCTCTGGCACTTCCACCTGTGGGGGTTTCAGGTCAACCGAGAAAAGAGCAAACTCGCCCCCGTGCAGAGGATCTCTTCTCTCGGGCTGGAGCTGGACTCGGTCACCATGGCAGCGCGCTGTCTCTCACTGTCTGAGAGAGCTCGACAGTAAAATAGTGGTCCCACTGAAACTATTTCAGAGGCTCCTGGGGCATATGGCATCCGCAGCCGCTTCATGCCGCTCGGATTATTCTATATGAGACCACTTCAGCACTGGCTTCACGATCGAGTCCCCAGACGCGCATGGCACGCGCGCGCACACCGAGTCTCTGTTACTGCGCTGTGTCGCCGCGCCCTCAGCCCTTGGAGCGACCCCTCGTTCCTACAGGCCTGGGTGTCTCTAGAACAGGCGTCCAGTCTTGTTGTCGTTTCAGCAGACACTTCCAACACGGGCTGGGGGGCTGTGCGTTGCGGGCATGTGGCTGCGGACCTGTGGAAAGGTACCCAGTTGCATTGGCATATCGCCTGGAGCTTTTGGCAGTGTTCCTCGCTCTCCACCGTTTTTTTCCGGTGCTGGAGCGGCAACACGTGCTGGTCAGGACGGACAGTACGGCGGCGGTGGCGTATATCAGCCGTATAGGGGGTATGCGCTCTCGCCGCATGTCTCAGCTCGCCCGCCGTCTGCTCCTCTGGAGTCATCCGCGGCTGAAATCGCTGCACGCCATTCATATTCAGGCTAGCTCAACCGTGCAGCCGATGCGCTCTCACGGCAGCCTTGCGTCCTGGAGAATGGAGACTCCACCCCGAGTCTGTTCAGCTGATATGGGCGCGATTCGGGGAAGCCCAGATCGATCTGTTGCTTCCCCCGAGATCGCTCATTGCCAGTTGTTCTTTCCCTGACCGAGTGCTCTCGGCACGGATGCACTGGCTTACAGCTGGCCTCGGGGCACGCGCAAATACGCGTTTCCCCCAGTGAGCCTGCTCGCGCAGTTACTGTGCAAGGTCAGGGAGGACGAGGAACGGGTTGCTGGTTGCGCCCCTCTGGCTCAACCGGACCTGGATGTCAGAGCTCTCCCTCGCGATAGCCCTCCCCTGGCAGTCCCTTCGAGAGAGCACCTACTCTCTCAGGGACAGGGCACCACCTGGCACCCTCGCCGATCTTTGAAGAGATTTTAGACGCGAGGAAGACTTAGGTAACCTCCGATTGCGGTGGCTAATACCGTCACTCGGGCTAGAGCCCCCTCCCCGAGCGCGCCTATGCCCTGACGTGGAGTCTATTCACTGAATGGTGTGTCTCTCGCTGAGAAGACCCCCGTAATTTGCCAGATCAGCGTTGTGCTTTCTTTACGCCGAGAGAAGTTGGAGAGCAGGCTGTCGCCCTCCACACTCAAGGTTACGTGGCTGCCATCTCCGCTCTCATAACGCGGTGGCTGGCAGCACCGTGGGAACGCATAACCTCATCATCCGGTTCCTCAGGGGCGTTAAGAGAATTAATCCACCCCGCCCCCTCTCATGCCCTCTTAGGATCTCGCCCTCGCTACACAAGCCGCGTCAGATCCCTTCGATCCTCGACTCATTATCTTTCTGTCCCTGAAGACAGCTCTGCTGGTCGCGTTGATATCGATTAGAGGGTTGGGGACCCGGAGGCATTTTTCGGTCAGTGACTCGTGCCTGTAATTGGGCTGGCTTCTCTCACGTCCTGAGACCCCGCCCGCGATATGTGCCCAAGGTTCCTACCACTCCGTTTTAATACGAGGTAGTGAGCCTGCAAGCGCTGCCCTCGGAGGAGGCAGACCCAGCCCTTCTTATTGTCCAGTTCGCGTTTTGCGTATTATCCGGACCGCACTCAGAGTTTAGATCATCTGAGCAGCTCTTCGTCTGTTATAGCGGTCGGCAGCAGGGAAGTGCCGTACCGAAATAAGTTCCCACTAGATTGTGGATGCCTTTCTTTCACTATCAGAGCCGAGATGAGCGCGTCCCCCGAGAGCGCGTGCGCACTCCACTCGGAGCTTCGCATCCTCTCGAGCGCGCGCACGCGGCGCCCCTCTAACAGACATCTGTAGAGCTGCGGGCTGGGTGACACCCAACACATTTGCAAGGTTTTACAATCTGCGAGTGGAGCCGGTTTCCTCAAGGGTATTAGGTAACCCTTGGTGATTGAGGAAACAATTCGGTAGGGTGTTGAAACACGCTTGCTGCGCCATTTTCCCTAACACGGAGATACGTGCGCCTTTTTATCTGTCAGTAAAGTTCCCCGTCAGGTGAGCCCTGCAGATTCCTCCGTGGCCCCCAGCACTGACTCAGCGGAGGAGTCACTTGCTGGCCCACTACGTTGTAGGTCTGCCCGCTGGTCAGCCCGCGTTTTGGGTAAAGGTGCCTGCTATGCGTGATCCCCACTAGGCGATCCCATATGCTTATTCCGCCACGGTTAAGTCCCCCCCCTGGGCGGACCCGTGTCTTCCCTCCCCGCTAACCACTCTTTTGCTATGCGTACTCCCCCTTTTTAGGGCTAGTCCATATGTAAATTCTGCCATCTATCCCCCCTTGGGTAACGGATGGCCTCCGCAGCATCCTCCCTATCGGGATTGCACGCTTCCCAACGTACTGTCGTATTTTCCTAGAATTATCTAGATGCTCACGACTTCCCAAAAAATATATCTAAATCCGTAAAACTTCTGTTGAAGTAGGATAAATTAGGGCCAGGGACACGTTGGAGGACCGCGCCCCCCATGATGTGGGTGCGTCACGCTTGCTTGACTATCTCCTCATCGGGGGTGTTGGTAAGGTGCAGTCATTATGGCGCTTTCAATGGGCTCCCAATGCGTGGATTTTACAATCAAATCCACTTATAGTGCTGAAGTTCCCCCCGAAGGGGAACGTTCGAGGTTACTAAAGTAACCCTTCGTTCCCCGAGGAGGGGAACGGAAGCACTATACTCCGTCGCCATAATGACTGTCCCTTAGCTGTTGAAAGTCTCTTCAGCTTAAAAAGGATAGCGTCTGCTGGCGCCAGGTGAGCTTATATACTCAGTTGATTGCTTATGCCGCTCACCTGCGCAGGCTTGCGCTGCCAATTCATTCTTAATTGGCCCGTTCAATACTCTTTCAGACGAGTAGCTTCTGAACCGAACCTCCCAATGCGTGGATTTTACAATCAAATCCACTTATAGTGCTTCCGTTCCCCTCCTCGGGGAACGAAGGGTTACTTTAGTAACCTCGAACGTTACTCTGGTATATGTTTTATACCACAACTTATCCACTTAAGTCTTTAAATACAGTTTCTGAAAAAGGTGAGCTTCAGATTCAAGAAAGTTTTCAAAGCCACTGCTTTAAGCACACTCATACAACAAAAGTAAAACAAAAATGACCTTTCTAAACTTTACAATATAAACCACGAGATTTTGACAATTTGAACTACAAACCAGGGAAACATTTACAGAACATCTGTAACATTCATAATGGTGAGGCAAATAATGTTATTAAAAAATGTTTTGAACAATCATGATAAAGTTGATAGAAAACCTTTTTCGAATATTATCAGAATGTGAACTGTCAAGAGTCAAGACTTTTAAAAATATGTTTTGAGAACATTAATATAACATGACACTGGAACATTCTAAAATCATTTTAATAATGTTATTATAACCAAACAGCAGCGTTATTATATGATAATATATACGTTTTAATAAGAGTTATTATAAGTTAAATTAAATGTTAGGAAAACACTGTGGATGGAATGTTCTATTAACAGTTTAAATAACATTTTGAGAAGAACATTAATATAAAATTTGACAATTTTAGATTGAAAGCATTACTAGCATGTTTTGTTTTCTCTCTGATTCTACTTAAGCTGTACTAAATATGTATGATTTTTAACTAATCTGAACTAAAAGCAAAACTTTGAAAAAAATGTCAAACAGTTAAATTATTCTGTTATTAGAATTCAAAAAGTCAAGGAAGTCAAAGTGGCATAAGTGGCAAAGTGTACACAAACCGTTTCTTATTTGTCCTTTGGTAGTTTTGTTGCCAGTATTTTTAAATTCCCGTGGTGAAAAGTGGCTGAATCAACTTATGCTGACTGATTGTTTTGATCCATAACACAAACAGTTTTGAAGAAGAAAACTATTTTTTTTCCCCAATTTCTATTCTGGCATGTGGTCGGCAAACATTCTGCTGGCATAAACTGGATCACTTTAAATCCCTTTAATCAGCACAAACACCGAGTCTTCTGCCTCTGCCATCTCATTTTACTGGCTGTTTAATTTAAGAAAACTCCAGAAAATATATACTTACATGATCAATATGAACAAAAAAATAAATAATTAAAAAAAATACAATAAATGCAGGGTATATTCTGGATCATACTGAAACACATTGGAGTACTGTTTAAAAAAAGAATGCTTGCTTAAATATGATTATAAACATAGAGAATAGAAAAAAACAGACACAAAAAGTAGGTTATAATAACAGTGTTTCAGTAACAGGAATAAACAATAAGTAGTATTTATAAGCTTAACGTATTACTTCATTCTGAAATCTCAAACCATTTCACCCAACCCAGGCTCATTCTGATTATGTACTTCTATATACATTTCTGGAGAGCCCCAAATACGTCCACATTTGTTTTTGTTTTCACAAATTCACCAGAGGCCGCTTTGTACGCTTTTTGAGATTCAATTCAATTCAAGGTAACACTTTATTTTGATGGTCTATTTGAGTAGACTGTCTGCTTAATATCTGTTGATACAGCTTCTTCAACAGACATTTAACTGACTATAAGAAACTTAGGAAGTGCATGCCAACTTACATCAACCCCAAACCTAACAGTCTACTTATAATCTAATGAAAATTGGTAGATGCAAGGTAACATATATTCAACAAATGGACCATCAAAATTATTTCTACAGCGCTTTTACAATGTAAATTGTGTCAAAGCCACTTAATATAGAAGTTATAGTAAAGTTCAGAATTTAGAGTTTAGTTCAGATCTTAAATTTCTCTCGAGTGCCATTTGCACCTGCTCTTCTTGTGTAAATTCACTAGTGGCCGCTGTCTACCTACTGACTGACTGACTGACCGACCAATACCCCCCACCTATCCCTAAACCCAACTGATAGTGTTTTAAAAAGCACCGATTAACCAGCGCCTACCCACTTTCCTAAACCCAACCAACAGTGTTTTAAAAAACAATACAAAAAAAAGAAAAGGCCTCCCAGCAGAATGATTTTTGCCACATTTTCAGATTTTACCACACTATCACCCTGTTATTGACTTGTTTGTTTTATTTTTTGGCTTATGCTTTTGTCTTACGTGCATTCAGGAAACATTCTTCACCAGACACAAACCCAGTCATCGGCATCAACTCTGCTCTGCATCTCAAATCCTCTGACATACGCAGCAAGCCACTAGACAAACTAGTAACAGTGGAAAAGCCGTCCATACGGAGGTAAGCGGACAGCTGGTAAGCAGGAAAAGCAACGCCATCATACCACCAGTATCGTTCGCTTTAAAAATTTAATGCAGCCATCCGTTCTTCTGGCTACATATTTCATGATCTCCAGAAATGTATATGATGTACGTTTTCAGAATAAGCTTATGTTGATTTTACCACCTGATAAATTACTATTTCTTTCATTTTTCTCTTTTAGAAAATGCGAATCAAAAAACAGCCATAATAGTAAATCCTTTGAAATGTACAGTCATACATCAAAAACTTGAAGTGTAAATAAGCTTTCTGTTGAAGTATGGTTTGTTAGGTATGATGATAACTGACTGAGATACAACTATTTAAATCTGGAATATGAGAGTTCAAGAGAATACTGTCAGTGAAAATCCCCTTTAAATAAAGTGCTTAGCAATGTGCTTTACTAATCAAAAATTGAATTTTGATATATTTATAGTAGGAAATGAAATTTGATTAATTTAAAATTCTAATATTTTGGCATAACATATTTTTTGACTCATACAATGTGTTTTTGACCTGTGCAACAAGACATTTTTGGTCACAAATAGAGAATATTAGGGGCACTTCAGAAGCAGATCAGTGCTCATAAAAAATGTTATGAATAAATAAATGCTTGAGTCAATCACCTGTGTAACATTAATACAGGCTGCATCAAAGCCTCAAAACAAAAACTCTATTAATTGAAGCCATTTCTATGAAATGAAAACCTAAAGCAGTAAAGTTGACTTTAAAGAGCCAAGCACTCATGTCCATACCAATTTCATCATTGTAGAAAGTGAAAAGCAAGAGAACTGCATATTCATTATTAAACCTCCCTATCTGTGACGTGAAAGCCAAGGTTTTCCGAATACTGCAGGACACAATTCACCTTTAATATATAAAAGAGGCATGGAAATGTATTGGTAGAATACATCTTGCATCTGGGAGCTCAAGGTTACCACAAAAAAAAAAAAAAACGACTCAAAGCTGATGTAGAGCCAAATGAAATAAAAGATTTGGATAGCAAAGTAAAAAACAAAAGAAAGCTCTACATGTGTCACAATATACTCTATAACCTTAAAACACAAACTCAGGCATTGCAAACACACAAAACAAGCCCACTCCATGTTCATCATGAGTATATTATTTGCTCACCTGGGATAACTTTTGGGTTCTTGTTGCACATGTGAGTGTTGCAGCAGTACGGATGCTTCCCGTTGTTGGAAGGAGCGCACTGGAAAGGCCTGTCCCGGGGGTAAAGATCATCCTGCTGAATACACTGATGCTCCTGTGTCACGGTCTGTCCAGAAGACTTAGCGATGACGGCAAAACACAGTCCAGTTGTGTTGCACGACCGATTGACACATCGTTCACAGTAACACAGCAGTCCTGATTCAGAAAAAAACATAGAAAGAGACTTTAGATTAGGAAACATTTAGATGGTCGGCTTATTCAACAGCACAATCATTGTCCCAAACAGATTCACCAGTGTTTTCTGCACGGTGGGGGGCGTGGCATGGCCCGGCTGTTCAAATAGACACCGACATAAGGAATCATGGTTGTTAACTTGTTTCTTTTCATGACAGCAGTAAAAATACTGAGCAATTATTTGAACTGTACAACCGTACAAGCAAAAAAAATGTGTAATATATATATATATATATATATATATATATATATATATATATATATATATATATATATATATATATTAGGGCTGTAACGATACACCAAACCCACGATTCGGTTCGTATCACGATTTTTGACCCACGATTCGGTTCGTTTGACGATTTTTTTTCCGTGTGGGGTGGGAAAAAATATTTTTAAAACAATTTTTTATTAAATAACATTTGAAAAATCTTTATAAACTAAACATCAAAGAACAATATTAACAATGCAAATTATTAACAATATAAATAGCCATATATAAAATAAATAAATAGCCAAAGCTATATCACTTTTGTTTAATTTGTAACAAAATACTGTTGAAAAACCAAACAGAACTAAACTCCATTGTGTAGATGGTTCAAGCATGTTGAAAATTCTTTTTCAATCAAGTTCTCTTACATAGAAAAAGTCTAGGGATGCTCATTTCGGTTAATTTTGCTAACGACAACCGCCGCTCATTAATCGGTTTTAACGGTTAACTGGTCAGATTACTATTAATTTTATATTAAACAAATTGACGTGTCTATTTTGTGTCTGACACATTAAATATTGCATTTTAAAATAGGCTACTGATTTATTTTTAAATGCTAGCATATTAATAACAGAACAGAACAACAGAGCATCTTCACGCACCTGCAGTGTTTTGCACAGAAGAGCAGAATAATCTAAATAAAATGAATAAAATAAATAGGACTGCCCTAAATTATTCTCATTTAAATAATTAATTTATATTACAAAACGAAAATACTGACTGATTCTTTTTAATAACCGGCATAGGCTGTTTTTTTCCAATCATGTTTTTTCTTCCGTCAAATAAATATCGCAGACTTCCTCAAATTGCTCGCTCCAAGAAAAATATGCATTTATTTAATGCCCCGCTGTTATTATTATAATAACAAAACCTTTTACATTTTTAATAGAAATCATTATTTTAAAGAATATGTCCTGATGGTTTCCTTTCTCTCCCTCGCGGGTCAAGTGCGAGCGCTGCGTGATGAAAAGACAACAACAACAACGCGCGCATATGTAGACTTTTTGTAAACAGTTTTGTTGTTTAAATATGCTATTGTATTAATGTGCATACATGCTTTATAAGCCGAAAGCAAGGCGCATCTCACTGCTTTTATGTTGACAAGGAAAAAAGAAGAGAAGAAGCGCGGTCCTCTTATAAAACGACTGAATCAGCTGGGTATCGATTGTGCATAAGTGTTGCTGTCTGTGTTGTTACAATTGTAATATTTAATACTATTGTGATATTCGAGATTTGTACATACAGCTCTGGATAACTTAAAACAGCGATTAGACCTTCAGAGCAGCATTAATGTGTCCTGAAGTAAAGCGAAACGGCTATAAACTCCAGCAAGATAGAGTGATTATATGCAGAGCCATATACCTTTATCTCTAAATAAAGTATAACTATAGAAACTGTGTTCATCTTAACTGAAAGCTTCGTCCTGTTTCCTGGCCTCACGCATCGCGCACCTGTCAGTCAGCCATGTAACGTAACTCCCAAAGGGTTAAACAGAAAGCGCACAGCACGGTTACAGAAAAGTTTCCTCTGCAGAGGAGTCGGGGCATCTGGTGAACGCCCATCTCTCTCTGCACAGCCACATTAACAACAATGCTTTGACAGCATTGGCAATGTTTCTGCCGTTGTCGGTTGTCAAGCGGGGTTAAGTTGGTTTTGTTTTTGATATTCCTGACACATTCAGACAGTCCCTTACTAAAAGCTCCGTGCAAGCTCTCCCGGTTAAACGCTTATTGCGAGGGCTTAAACGGAGCAGTGCTCGTAATGTCGAGCGGAAAAAAAGTGTTTCCTCACGTTCTTCTTCAACTAGCTCAACTTTTGCAGGCATGCGTGACGTTATTGGAAAGGTACGGGGTGTGTCGCGATTCTCCCTTATTACACCGCGACACAGGATCGTAGATCTGAGTGTCGCGATTTCGATTTCATATCGTGCATCGTTACAACCCTAATATATATATATATATATATATATATACACAGGTATATATATATATATATATATATATATATATATATATATATATATATATATATATATATATATATATATTCATACATATATACATATATGTGTATATATACACACACATACACACACATATATAAATACACATACATACACATACATAAAATGTTAAAAAAAATAATAAATACAATCAAATAACCATACATACCATATGTACAGCAAAATCAAATTATTTGAGATTTTGCACACAATCAATAAAAGGTTGCCACTATGCCACACCTTAAAAAATTCCCCCTTAGACTCTCTTAATAAAAACCTGATTATTACCAAATAAAGACAAGACATATTTTCTCTAATTCACTGAGCATGAGTGGGAGGACATAATCCTTCCTATTTACAAAATAGCCCTACGTGCCAATAAAGTCGAAAAATCGATGATTTTACACTTTGCAGAAGGCAACTGTATTTCCTCTGAAGTAACCCCAAACAGTGCCACCTGTGGATCTAGTTATATCTTGTGCTAAAGAATCACAGAAAACGAATCAAACATTAACCACCAGAAATGATTTAAGTTAGGACAAGTCCAGAACACAAGCTAAAAATGAACATTTATTTTTATATTATTGTCCACAAAGTGTGCAGCTTTTGTCGCGGCAATGCATCTTATGCCGAGTTCAGACTGCATGATTTTCAAAGTAGTCGTGTCACAGATGTTTTCACACTGCATGACTATCTGGGCTTGCGTTTCGTCGCTGCTTTGTTTACACTGCAAGATGGATCGGTGACAGGCTTTCACATTGCATGACTTTACTATAGAAAGAATCGCCGAAAACTTCGTCCAAACTACGTCTCACAGCCAAAAACACGTATTATATTTTTTGTTATTAACTACATAATGAGAAAAAAGCCTTTAATGGGGTAGAACATGTACATATTTGCTCACCTGGGTTTAAAGGGAATTAGCCATTTCTCCTAAACGTTGATAATAAACTAATTTCTTTCTGTATTAAACGTCAAACAGACACGGTTGCTCCTGAGTCCTGTCAAACCTCCACTAGTTTTTCCTCCATTTCGTGGGTCCAAATAAACCGAAAAAGAGCGCTTTTAACTTCTCCCCCAGCCTCCTGCTGGCCTGCAGCAGTTATACACACACACACACGCAAGTGAATGCTGCTCTCTCATTGGATCTCACAGGCTATCGCTGATGTTATTTTCAGTGAAAACTCAATTCACACGGCATGATTTGAATCGCTAACAGCTCCAGATATTTAGCACGCCAAATATCTCTCAGGCATCGGCTACTCATCGGCGATTCTCTCAGATCGCGTTTTTGATAGTTCATACTGTGTGATTGTCACTCACGTGCACGAGCACCGATTTGCCTGTGATTTCAGGCATTTGTCGGCGATTTCTCAAAACCTGTCGGCAAGCTGAAATCGGGGCTAAAATCACGCAGTCTGAACTAGGCATTATTGGGCTTATTTACTTACTAAATAAAGTTTACTTTCATACATGACCTTTACTTAAGTATACTTCTTTTTCCTAAGGGTGCATTTACTGACTTACCAAGATCAGTCTTGTACAGCCAGGGGGAGTATTGCCGCTCTAAAAGCAAAGTTGTGTCAAAGCTAGGCATGCTCCAATTAGGATTTTTGCAGCTGATCTAGAGTACTGATTCCTTGTCATGGTAATCAGCTGATACGGAGCACTGATTCTAATGCTTCAAGCTTTAAAATGGATTAAGCACATTTTGCCTCTAAGTATAAACTATAAGTGAAGACCTTGCTTTACCTAAGAGAATAAATCAAGGATGCTGCATATACCTTAAAAACGTCTTTTATAACCATTTAGTTGTGACCGTGTCATGGCCAGAAGCAGCTTTACAGAAAATGATTCATCCATTCATTTGACTTTGAATTAGTCCCTTATTTATCAGGGGTTGCCACTGCAGAATGAACTGCTACAGCAAATAATAAAACACAGATATAAAAATTATGAAAAATTACAATGCAATTTGAAAACATTGCAAACGATGAAAGAAGAATTCAACATGACTCAATCAAGAAAAAGTTTGGAGCTCACATTTGAAGGTAAAATGCACACCTTTAAATCTAACTTCTTTACTAAAAGGAAACAGGCCTATAAACTACTGTTTAATGAGTGTATTACAATAATTTATATTATTAAATATTAATGTAAAAAAAAATTGTTTTATTTATCTAATAATTCCAGCCAGCTTTTAGTGAATTTGCAAAATTGTTAAAACAGATCTTTCAGTTGTTATATGTAAAAAGACCTAAATGCATGCAAGACCATTCAAATATTTTGCTCGTCTATAACTATTGACAGCAGATCCCTCAATGAGGGTGATAGAGGGAAGGAATGTAGGCTGAAGCTTAGACCATCACTGGGCCTCTTGCGATCTGTTGTCTTGCTCATTCACTCTCATTGCCATGATTTCAGAGTATTTTAATTTATTTTTGGGGATCAAGGGGCCGTTATAAATTTGCAGGAGACTCAGGGTGCTTCCAGGAGAGGTCATAGGTTGGATGAGACGCTAGACAGGGGCGAACACATCACAGCAGCTCAAAACACTGGAAATACAATGGCTGCACCCTTGCAACAAAGAGAGCATCACTTGCGCGAGTCACACCAATAAACTAAACAGGCCCGTATTGGCTAATCGGCAGGGGTGTAACGATATTACAAACCGAACCGAAATATCGC